CAAGAACTAGAAGAAAGGATCTCAAAGGCTCAAACGATAAAGAAATGGAAATACTAAGTTTCCTGATTTGATCAATACAGGTTGCATATGTGTGTACAAAAATATATGTACACATAAATATGTATAATTATCACATGTTAATCAAAGGTTTTTAAAATAAAAATAAATTCTTTCATTGACATTACATAAACATGGCTGATTCCATTATATAGTTAAGCAGTAAAATAACATTTCATTCAATTTTAATAACACTCAAAAATATTTTACAAGTATATATATATATATATTGACCTGAACTTACAAACTTAGAATGCTTTATAATAAATGGCTATCTTTAAAACACTATACAATTTATTAAGGGAGATAAGATTGGTAACTTAAAAATGTTCCCTATGCAATTCAAAATCCCTTCCCATAATTGGATTATATACAGCAACACATTTTGCAGTGTATGATATCTAAAGCTACAAATACTCCAAAAGCTATTCAAACATTTCCCCTATATTATAAATATCTCTTACACTATTGCTTTCCTGACTTACACTCTTTGTTTAAATCCTTTACATTGCTTGCATTGCTCTTGAATGCCACTCATAAAAATATAAAAGGTATATTTAAAATTATTGGACTTAAAACAACTGACCTGACTTTCAAATATCAGAATGGTCTTAATGAAATGACCTGTTCTTCTATGACTATAACTGAGATTTGTCCATTAACAATAAGTGGATTGTGATAATGTATCCACATCAAGTACACTGTGTTCTAAACTTTAAAATTACTAAGTCATGATGAAAGAGAAGAAAAGCTTCTCCTAACTGTCTGAAGGTGCTTAAAAATGTGAAACTTACCAGTCTTTAACCAAATGATAGTACCCTAAATCTATTGTTTTAAAATCATAGAAAATAAAACAGAATACAATGGATTTTAACACTACAAGTCTACATAACAGAATAGCTTCCATATGGCAAACATTACATTCAGTACCAGGTCATATTAGTTTTAATCACAGAACAGAACAACCATGAAGGTATGAAGTATTCTAAATATTCTAATCAAAATATAGTGATACTTATAGCCATTTCATGTAAAGTGACTTCAATTACTTTATTTTCAAGCAAATGCTGAATAGACTATCTACAAGTAGTACAGGGTCTTCCTGACAGTTTAAAATGGAAATTCCACAAGGAATAATAACAAAACAGTACTGACAGGATTCCAGGAGAAAATTCACCTCTTATCATATCTGCAAACATCTCCAAATCAACCACTGTTTCATGTCCCTTCCTATATTCTTCCCCAAACCTAACTTAATGAGGCCCGGAGATGTAGCAAGCATTCAAATATTAGTTGAATAGATAACAGCCATCAAAGACATTTATACAAACCATTTAAAATAGATTTTTCTTTTTCACTCAAGATGCCAAGGAAATAAATATGCATCGTATATACAACAGACATCACCAAGGCAATAAACATTGTTCTCATTTAACGGTTCATTTAACGGTTCTCAAACTTACTTCATAGCCCCACGAGACTAATGTTACACATGAGCAAAATTCTGCACTGCTACGTTGCACTTTATTCTCTTACGTCCTACTCAGAACAGCAGAATGCAAACGACAGAAAGACACTGAGATAATATACACATATATATGTATTATTACATATATTGTACCTGCATTGCATTACATAAAGTCAAGATGCAATATAGATCACATCTCTTATACATATCTATTATGTGTACATTAAGCGTGTGCTTGTCAGAGTGTGGGGGAAGGGATTGTTTATCTACCAAAATGTGCTACAATATAAATTAAATGACCTATCCATCATTATTTGACAGTAAATCTATGGTATAAAATATATATTTCATAGAACTTAATATGCTTTCAATATTCTCTCTTTAACAATATCCTGTCATGCGTCTATCACATGTTTCAATCATTTTCATATTCCTGTCAATCATGTCCTAATAAGATTTAATTAAAAATTCTTAGAGGAGAAGCATAATAGAAAGTACCTACTTTCCCCCAGCTGGAAAACAATTCCCCCTCATTTCTAGAATGTGACTCTAGAAACAAAAAATATCATCCTGATACAGAAGCCAACTGTGAGATAGGACCGGAGTACATGTAATTCATTTGGGGATTGATCCAGAAAATATCTGTATCAGAGGGAAGCATCAGGAGCCGATAAAGGCTGCATTACTGAGCCAGTTACCACTATGGGCAACTAGACCTCAGTCCCCTTGGACATGGTATGGAACATGCTTCAGAATTATTCCAACCAAAGAGCAAGGAAGCTAAGACACTGATTCAACAGCGCTCAATTTAATTGGCAACCCTCTGGCTCATTCTCCACGCAGGTCTGGTGTGTTCCCAAGGTTGGTGAAGGTATGATGAGGTTGCCTAGTGAAGGGACGGACTCTCAGGCAAAAGGTTCTTAGAGAAAGCAGCATAGCAAATACTGGCAGAGCACCAAATTCATCTGTTGATGGAAAGCATCAACCTATTCCCATACGAAGCAACGCTTCTTCCTCAACTCTACAAGAATTGAATCCAAGAAGATAACTGAATAGAGTAAGATTGCCACTCAGATTTAATTGCAAAGAGACATCCATGATCAAATTAAAGATGAAAGAGATGACTTTACTTACTGCATATTAGTTTAGACTCCTGAAAAGAAAAAGAATTGCAAACTGCAAACCAGAAGTGAAGAAAGGAACTGGTATTCTGAGAACCCATAAACTCTGCTAGATGCTACAGAATCATTCTTAGAACTTCAAACAAATTAAGTGGAAAGAACTTAAGAGTTCTTTTTTCTTCTTCCTGAAGAGATTCTTGAGGGATTTGAAACACAAAGAACTGAGTTCATGAGTCATCTTTACACATGTATCACCCACAACAGGTACTTAGTTTCCCAGTTTCTGTTTCCTGGTCTCTAATATAAGGACCTACTCTTCAGAGTTCATATGATGACTAAACTGACACAAAGCACAAGGAAAGCACCTGGCAGAGCGCATTGTCAACCAAGTCTAAGTCCTGTCCCTCTCCATCCTCTCTCCTGTCACAATTCCATGAAGGAGACATTTGAGTCAAGTAGGCAAGTATCTCCATTATAAAAATATGATTACTGAATCTCATAATGGCAGAGTGGCGTGCTGGGGTTCCTTCAGCCAGTGGCAGAAGAAGCAAAGCGAGGGAATCTGGCTCTCTCTGATTCTAAGAATATTGCCTTCAAAGATTAACAACAAATGGAACCCAAACCAAATATGGATTTGTCAAGAAGTCACAAACTCATTCAGATCCTTTAAAAAGGTGAATATTTTAAAACATTTAATACTTTACGTTAATGATAAAGGTAGTTTAGATTTTAACATAACATTGAGCTAGCATAAACTTTTATCATAATTAATAAAAATTTCAAGTGACTTCACAAAACTTTATATATAGTCATGATCTATTTAGGTAGTATTCAACTAACCAAAAGCCCTTAATTATTGAAATATCTTTGCAGCATCCTTGGAAAGATGAAGGCAATCACATGAACAGTTGACATTTGGACAGAGTATTTTTGAAAAGCAAGAAACACCATATCACAGCCAAAGGATGTCCTCTAGGTATTCAACCATCCTCACACTTTCTACAACTAATACTTCTATTCTACATGATGACCCCAAATCACTAGGAATACGGTGCTCCACTTGAGAAACTATGTAACTAATGTAACTATGCAGCTAATCCTGGCATTGCAAATGCTTACACATTCTTTTCTCCATCTTCAGTTAGCCATAACAACTTACTTTACAGGTAAACTGGGGAACTGACATTTGCCCTTTAAATTTTTAACCAATACTTTTTTTTCCCTAAAAAAGAAGAGAGTGAATTGAAATGTTATCCTCCACAAAATACCCAAATCCCCTTGAATTACTAATAGGAGACCAAAACGGAAGCCCATAATTGACGCTTACTATAAAGTCCCAGTGGGTAGGGCCAGGAGTTGGTCCTGAGATCTGAGTGGGTAAGGAAAGGGTGTTTTACTGCCCAGTGGTGTACAGGGACGAGGCTTTTAGATTGAACACACAATGAATATTTTATGTACTTAAAATAAACAGTCATACCAAACTGAACTTCTAGGAAAGATTTGGATTGAATTCGGAGCCTAGCATGCATACTTATCTGAAAACAAGGAAATGTGGCGTGTGATACACGAAATCACTATTTCAGGAACTAAATTTAATGAAATACGAAATGTGCTTTTAAAATAATGAGGCAAAGACAGCCAGAGAAATTTCAGAAGTTTACTGCAAAGCAGCGATGCTCTGGGTAACAATAAATGTCTCAGTTTTGAAACTTAGTGTTAATTTTGAGACGTTTACGGTTCAGCTTAAAAAATGATCTTATTAAGGAAAGGATGCATCACACCTGATCGAACGCCGTTACTCATCAGGATCACAGTCACCTGTTCGAAGTTAAGTCTTTCCTATTGCAAGCGCTGTCATTTTCACTAACTACCTGTTACATATTCAAGCCAACGGTCTACCTGAAACTCCACGTCCAAACAGCCAGATATCCCTAGCGGGAAGCAAGCACCCACTTAGGACCCACACTGGCAGGGAGGATGTCACTAGGTGCAGATTTTTAAGTTTCCAATGCGCATTTCCAATCAACTTGGATCGGTGTTCGAGTTTGATTAACCACACCTAAGGGGAAAAACGCGAAAATCACTGAGCAGTGCCACTGCGTGCTGCACCTCTGACACCAGCCTCACACACACCCTCGGGAAGCAGAGAGACAAAAGAACAAGCGCCGGGTACCGGGATCCATGCGAAAAGAAGAAAGTGGGAGGCACAGGAGTTCCTCGCCTGCAGCAACCGCTCCATCCATCCATCCATCCGTCAAGATGGAGAGGCAGCGCCGCACCAGAGCCCCCCTGCGGCTCCCTCGCCCGGGGTCGGCGTCTCCGCGGCGGGAGCAGCCCCGCGCCGCGGCGCTCACCTGTCGTCGTGCTGCCATCCTTGGTCCCCGAGCAGCAAGTCGCGAAACCGGTACCTCGGAGGCAGGGGGGGCACCTCGCTCTCCAGGTCGACCATCCTGCCTCAGAGCGCGGGGGGCATCAGACACCCAGCGCGGGGGCAGCGGGCGCCGAGACCGCGGAGCACCGGGCCCAGGAGGGGACCGGGCCGGAGAGGGAGGGAGGGGGTCGGCTCGGAGCCGGAAGCTGCGGCTGGCGAGGGGGCCGGCGCGTCTCTCCTGAGGGTGTGATGGGGATGATGCAAACCCAGCCCGGGAGCAAAAGTCTGGCTCCGACGAGAGCCGGCGCCGCCAGGGGACCGCCCCCCACCCAGGCTCGGCACCGCCTCTGGTCCCCCGGCCCTTGGGGAGGGGAGGCGGGAATGCAAAAGTTACTTCGCGCCGGGGCTGCCGACAGGGGCGAGGGTGGGCGCGGCGAGGGCCACGCTGCCCCGAGGCTGGCGGGAGGCGCTGCCCGGCCGCCCCACAGCGGAGGGTCCCCGGCGCCGGCGAGGGCGGCCCAGGGCGGTGGGCTTCGCGCCCGACGCGGCCAGCCGCGCGCTGCCCTCAGCAGCCCTCCGGCGCCGGAGCGGGAGGCCCGGCCAATGAGACGCCCCCTCATTAGCATAACCCAGTGACGGCACGGGGGTGCCGCGGGGACGACCAATGGGGGCGGGCTGCTCAGCGGGAGCCGGCGGGGAGTGGGCGCGACCCTCGCGCGGGAGCCCGGAGGCTCGGCGCGCGCCGGGCGGGCCGAGGGGCCGGGAGCTCGCGCGCGGCGTCGACGGCAGGCGGCGCGGGTAGGCGGGAACGGGGAGCGCGCGTTCCTGGAGAGGGAATCCCCGCTGCCTGCCGCAGGGAAGCCCCGTTTCTCCTCACGTTCTGAAGGAGGAGAGGGGTTTCCCTGATCGCCGGGAAGGAAGGCAGGGCCGCCTTAGGCCGCTGAGGAGACGTCGAAATGGTTGAGGGCTGCCGAGGGCCGGCTTGTGGGAGACGACAGTTGCCGCCGCCGCTACGGCGAGGGGACGTCTCGGCCCCGGCGTGTGACGGGCCAGGGTCCCGGGGACCCCTGTCCGTCAGTCTGCACCGGCTCGCTCGCTTCCCACTGCTCCTCCCCTCCAGGTACCCATTTTTTCGACGGGCTCAAAGCCTGAGGATCCGCAGACCTAAAAAAGTTTTTTATTGGGAAAAAAAAGGAATTAAGAAAGAAGCGTATTTTTGGAATCCGTATAAATTAAAAAGTCTTCAAAAAGTTCTTTGAAAGAAATGCATGTGATGAAAAAACTGCATGGATTTTTTTGGCACCAAAATAAACATGAAGTCCCCCTGCAGGTCACTATCCAGGCCCTCGCTTAGGAATCTCAAAATTTACTCATAAAGAACATGATATAATGTGGGAAGCAATGATAAAACCTCAGTGAAGAGATTTAGGAAGACCTGAGAGAAAACACATGGTGGAGTAATGGAAGACAATGAACATGAAAAAACCTCCTACATCCGTTTGCAACCTGCTTGAGAGAAAGGAAGAAACAGGAAACAACCAGAGAGAGTAGTGTGAACAGTCAAAAGCATTTTTGCCCCCCCCCAGGAAATTATGGCTAATTTGGTGTAATTAATTCTTAGTAGAGGTCGTGTAGCATGCGTTGCAAAGAAACATAAAATACAAAAAGAAATCGGCCAAAAGTGAAGTATCAGGTAAAATCAGATAAATGTCTAACAGCTGAAATAGAACAGTCATGTTCTTTGTTGTCAAAAGCCTATCCTTCTTTTCAGATCCCTGGCAAACTAAATGTTCTCCACGAGGTTTCCCCATTCTTCCTCATGACTCTGACACCTTTTCATCTGAATGCTTCACCCCTAATGAGTGAGTTTCTTGTAGTCCTTACTATATTCTACCTGCAGTATGGTGTCTTATCTGTGCATTTTTATTTTTTTATTTATTTTTTATTTAGTAAATATAAATTTTCAAAGTAGAGTTAATGGATTACAATGGCTCCCCCCCCCATAATTTCCTTCCCATTCACACCCCTCCCATCTCCTGCTCCCTCTCCCATTCCACTCACATCAAGATTCATTTTCAATTATCTTTATATACAGAAGATTGATTCAGTATATATTAAGTAAAGATTTCATCAGTTTGCACCCACGCAGAACATAAAGTGTAAAATACTGTTTCAGTACTAGGTATAGCATTACTTCACATTGGACAACACGTTAAGGACAGATCCCACATGAGAAGTAAGTACACAGTGACTCCTGTTGTTGACTTAACAATTTGACACTCTTGTTTATGGCATCAATAATCTCCCTAGGCTCTAGTCATGAGTTGCCAAGGCTATGGAAGCCTTTTGAGTTCGCCAACTTCAATCTTATTCCATCAGGGTCACAGTCAAAGTTGAAGTTTTCTCCTCCCTTCAGAGAAAGGTACCTCCTTCTTTGATGGCCCCATTCTTTCCACTGGGATCTCACTCGACGAGATCTTCCATTTAGGTCTTCTTCTTCTTTTTTTTTTTTTTTTTTTCCCCATGGTGTCTTGGCTTTCCATGCCTAAAATACTCTCATGGGCTCTTCAGCCATATCTGAATGCCTTTAGGGCTGATTCTGAGGCCAGAGTGCTATTTAGGACATCTGCCATTCTATGAGTCTGCTGTGTATCCCGCTTCCCATGTTGGATCATTCTCTCCCTTTTTGATTCTATCAGCTAGTATTAGCAGACCCTAGACTTGTTTGTGTGATCTCTTTGACTCTTAGACCTATCAGTGTGATCAATTGTGAACTGAAATTGATCACTTGGACTAGTGAGATGGCATTGGTACATGCCACCTTGATGGGATTGTATTGGGATCCCCTGGCATGATTCTAACTCCACCATCTGGGGCAAGTCCGAATGAGCATGTCCCAAACTGTACATCTCCTCCCTCTCTTATTTCCACTGTTATATTTAACAGGGATCACTTTTCAGTTAAAATTTAAACACCTAAGAATAATTGTGTGTTAATCACAGAGTTCAACCAATAGTACTAGAACAAAACAAAGAGAAAATACTAAAATGGATAAAGTATTACATTGTACATCAACAGTCAGGACAAGAGCTGATCAAGTCACTGTTTCTCATAGTGTCCATTTCATTTCAACAGGTTTCCCCTTTGGTGCTCAGTTAGTTGTCGCTGATCAGGGAAAACATATGATATTTGTCCCTTTGGGACTGGCTTAATTCACTCAGCATAACGTTTTCCAGATTCCTCCATCTTGTTGCAAATGACCGGGTTTCGTTGTTTTTGACTGCTGTATAGTATTCTGTAGAGTACATGTCCCATAATTTCTTTATCCAGTCTACTGTTGATGGGCATTTGGGTTGGTTCCAGGTCTTAGCTATTGTGAATTGAGCTGCAATAAACATTAATGTGCAGACAGCTTTTTTGTTTGCCAATTTCATTTCCTTTGGGTAAATTCCAAGGAGTGGGATGGCTGGGTTGAATGGTAGTGGTTTCCACTTCTCTCTGTGGCTCCTCTTTCCAGAATACTGCTTTCAAAAAGTAAATCTTATTAAGTAAACGTTGCAATGTATAAAAGCTACTAATATTTTCACACTTTTATTTTAGCTCCAGAGGTTTCCTTTTTATAAATTCTTTATTTAGCATGAATTTTTGTAATCACTGTATGCTATGAGAAAGTTACATGATTACCTTATTTGAGCAAAAAAAAATATTTGGTTTATATTTTGTACTTTGTCATCTGCTATTTTTTTTAAGATTTATTTGAAAGTCAGAGTTACAGAGAGAGGAGAGGCAGAGAGAAAGAGAAAGAGAGAGGTCTTCCATCCACTGGTCACTCCCCAATTGGCCGTGATGGCCAGAGCTGCACCGATCCAAAGCCAGGAACCAGAAGATTCTTCCAGGTCTCCCATGTAGGTGCAGGGGCCCAAGCACTTGGGCCGTCTTCTACTGCTTTCCCAGGCCAGAGAGCTGGATCGGAAATAAATAAATAAATAAGAAAAAATCTGCTCAGCTAATAGTGTCACAGCACAACCATTAAGGATACAAACATTATAAAGTACCTTAATGTGTTAAGTCAGACTAGTTGGAATCCACTGAACTGATGATATATTGATTTTCTATATGCCAAAAAAATTGTTGTCAATGTGAAAAATCTTAAAATTCTAAACTTCAAAATATTGAAAGAATAGGAAATACTGCCCTAGCATTCTTAAAGTATGTCAATATTGGACATTGAAACTAAAATTTAGAGTTGGAACATCCTTTTGCTCTACTTTATATTTTTTCTATTTTCTCTAGACAGACTTTTCATATTTTGCTGTTAATTTTGAGTTCCAGTTTTCCCACCTAGCTTTCTACACTTTTATTCTTTTTTTCCCTTGTCATGTCATGTCATGTCATTCCCTGCTGCTAAAATATATTTTCCTCTTTCACTCTTTTTACCTTAGTTTCCTTTTTTCACTGTGTGCTTTTAATCTCCTGTCTTATAGAGTCTTTTTTTCTCTCTGTATGTGTGAAGGCTTTTATTCTACTGTAACAGGGGCTTCGACTTTTTTGGACAAAATTCTAAACTTGGGTCTTCATGTTGCCATTTTATACCTAAGCTGCCAGCGTTCTTAAGTCTCCTAATGAACATCCAGCATGATTAGAGAAATAGAAGACATTGGTTCCACCCTAACAAATGACAACTTGCCAGAAACTTCTAAATGATTATGCTGATGGAAGAAACCGTGAGGGTTGAGAGTGAGGATTAGCGAAACATCCCCTGGTTTTAGCAATTTTATTACTTTTTATTATCTAGAAAGGACGTTTGAGGATATCTTCCAATTTCTTCCTCTTTTTAGCAGGAAAAATGTCTTTTAAAAAATCGAATTCTCCAGTTAGACTAATGTTTAACAAAAAAGATTATTTCCATTTTATTAACAATTAACAATTGGTTGATAACTATCCTGTGTGTAATGAACATAACTGCAGTCATAGAATATGACATATTTTTACTCAAAACCCAAAATTTCTGTATATTGCATACATCATTTTTGTGCAAAGCTAGGCAAACTGTTAAAGATTATATCTGCATAACCCTGTAACAACTAATCAAAAAAGAAATAGAGGAAAATTAAAAAAAAATTTTTCTATATGTTGATCTGCACACTTCATAGATGCCTTATCTTTGGAAGCAACAGACAGGCTACTCCACATTCATTCAGATAGCATGGTTAAGCTACAGAACATTTCAGTGGGATGTGTCCTAATTTTTTTTTCAATGAAGATTTCCTAAGTGGCTACTATGAATATTGTTTTTCATAGTTTTATGAGTAGAGGAGAGTTAAGTGCAGTACAATCCAGTGAGTACTCTAAAATGTGCAAGGTCTCAGTAGTAACTCCCACATGTGGTTGTGTTGCTAAGGACCATGTAGGGGCCTATTGGAGGGCTGACAGCAATAGTGAAGAATAAAAAAATGAATGAATGAGAAGGTGGAAGTAGAAGGAGCTACAAGAATACAGGTACAAATGAAAGCCACAA